GAATTTGATAACACACTTCCAAACACAGAGCCTAATGTAGGACAGCGCTTCACTTATCTTGATTTGAACGCAGGATTCGCTGCATCAAGAAAGATTGGGAAATTTGAACCGGAGATTGGTTTCGCGGCTTTCCACTTAAATCGTCCCCGTGAAAGTTTTTTAGACAACAACAATAATAAGCTGCCGGTGCGCTATTAACGGAGCAATCAGTTACTCGGTCGCTCCCAAGGTAATTCTTAAACTTCATAGTCTGTATGGTTACACAACGAAAGCCAACGATTGGGTGAGCGGTTTAAATGTGGAGTACGTTTTATCTCGTACAGCATTTTTTGCTAATTCGGTATTTGTAGGGTTTATGTGGCGCGATGGATTTAAAAGAAATTACGATGCTGGAATTGTAACTGCCGGATTTAACTACAGTCATTATACTGTTGGATTTAGTTACGACATTACCATGTCAGAATTAAAAACTTCGGTTAACAGCAGGGGCGCGCTGGAACTGGCTTTTATTTACCGCGCTAAAAGTACACGTCTGACCAAAAAAATAATTCCTTGTGAGAGATATTAGACTTATATGTTTTTTTATGTTTCTGTTTGTTACAGGTTGGTCGCAGACAGATAGCACCAGCCTTAAAACTGCGAGTGGGAAGTCTTTAAAACGTCTTGGGAAAAGTGCTTTAAAACAAAACGATCCGAGCTCTGCCATAATTTTCCTGGAAGCTTATGTAACGAAGAATAAAAAGGATGCTGAAGCCCAGGCTTTATTGGGAAAAGCTTATATGGAAATTCGGGATTATGACCGTGCACAGCATATGTTTTTGCAGGCATACAACACTGATAAACTAAAGGCTCCTGAAGCCCTGTATTACCATGCTTTGATGATGAAGTCGAACGCTCAGTATGATAGTGCAAGAATGAATTTTCAGAGGTTTAAAAAAGAATACAAGGGCGATAATAAAAAACTTAAAAAATTTGCTACACGTGAAATTGCTTTTTGCGATTCGGTAGTGCGTATTATCGGTTCAGAATTTAAAATTATCATTCAACACCTCGATACCTCTATTAATAAAGTAAATACTGAAGGCGCACCGATTAATTTCGACGATGACAAACTGGTATTTACATCTCTGCGGACCGAAAAAGAGGAGTATATAACAGACGATGATACTGCAGCTGCTATCAAAAGAAAACTTTATTTCGCCAAACGTGTAAATGATAAATGGGTGTTCAGCAGCGAATACGCCTCCAATCTAAACGATCCTGATTTTAATACGGGAAATGCGACCTTTAGTCCCGACCGGC